GATATAATTTAAATTCATTAAAACATGCAAATGCTAATAACATTCTAATTGCTTCCATCCTAGCTACATGAGCGTATGTCTCATCAAAATCTATGTCATTTTCTTGAGTATAGCCTTGAGCAACAAGTCTAGCCTTGTTCCTCACTATATTACCACTTTCATCAAGCTTATTCCTAAATACCCATCTAGTACCTACAATAGATTTATTATCAGGTCTTTCAACTAATGTTCATACAACTAATGTTCATACTTTACTTCTCTCAAATTGATTTAACTCTTCTTGCATAGCCATAATCCAATGTTCATCATTTAATGCTTCTTTAATATTCTTAGGCTCTATGCATGAGATAAATGCAACATAATTACATATATTTCTAAGAGAATATCAAGTTGTTACCCCTTTTGATGGATCACCTATTATCTCACCATCCTTGACATAGTTGTATTCTCTTGGGTAAGAGACTTCCCTTTCTTCAATGGTTGCATTCTCGAGAACATCATGAGTTTCCTCATCTTTCACGTCTTCCTTTGATGATGGTTCTCCAACGTCATGCCTAACGTCATTTGTGTTTACAATACCTACATCATCATTCACACAAGAATCCTTCCTCGGAAGGGATTATCATCGAAAACAACATGTATAGACTCTTCTATCACAAAAGTTCTTTTATTAAATACTCGATAAGCTTTAGAATTTAAGGAATAACCCAAAAAAATTCCTTCATCACTTTTAGCATCAAATTTGCCAAGATTTTCTTTACCGTTGTTTAAAACAAAACATTTACATCCAAAAGAATGAAAATAACTAATGTTAGGCTTTTTATTTTTGAAAAGTTCATATGGAGTTTTCTTCAAAATTGGCCTAATCATTACTCGATTAATAACATAACAAGCGGTATTTGTGGCTTCCGCCCAAAATTATTTTGGCAAATTGTTTCACAAATCATGGTTCTAACCATTTCTTCCAAAGTTCGATTTTTCCTCTCAACAAATCCATTTTGTTGAGGGGTTCTAAATGCTGAAAAATTATGGCTAATACCATTAGAATTACAAAAATCAGTAAATCCAAGATTTTCAAATTCAGTACCATGATCACTCCTAACACTAGTTATGGAGTAACCTTTTTCGTTTTGGATTACTTTTGAAAACGTGATGAATTTTTCTAATGCTTCATCTTTGGTACTTAAAAATAGAACCCGAGTATATCTAGAATAGTCATCTACCAATACAAAACAATATTGTTTTCCACCCAAGCTAATAGTTCTAATTGGCCCAAAAAGATCTATATGGATCAATTGTAATACTCTACTAGTTGATACATCATTAATGGACTTAAATGAAGCTCTTTGATGTTTTCCTTTAGCACAAGCATCATAGATTTTATCTTTATCAAATTTTAGCTTTGAAAACCCTCTTACTAAATCTCCTTGAATTCGTCTTTGTAAAACACTCATACTAGTATGTCATAGTCTCATATGTCATAACCAACTATCATGCTCATCCTTAGCAACTAGGCATAAATTAGTCATATTAATAGAATCTAAATGCACTATGTAAATATTTCTTATTCTATGACCAACAAGCATAATCTGATTAGATGCAATGTCAATGACTTTACAACCATTTGTTTCAAATAAGACATTGTATGCTTTATCACAAAATTGATTAATACTCAATAGATTATGCTTTAACCCATTCACATATAAAACATTATGAATTTGTATGGAAGAGGTATTACTTATAGTACCTATACCTTCAATGTGGCCTTTTGGATTATCACCAAAAGTCATCTCTCCTCCATTTTTGTCTTTAAGCTCGATGAACCGGCTCTTGTCTCCGGTCATATGTCTTGAGCATCCACTATCAAGGTACCATGAGTTTGAACTTGTTTCTCGTGCCTTGTATTAATGCTCCTTTTCCTACAAACATTGATTAATTTTTTATTTTTGGTACCCAATTTCTTTTGGGTCCATATTCATTAGTCTCCAAAATTCTAGTCCCCTTGAGTATCCATTTGTGTAGGATATCCTTATCTTTAGTAGTAATGAGTTCTTTAGGAACACATATATTTCTAATAATTTTTCCATTAGAGGTTCTTCGGGGACCTCTATAATTGTAGTTTTTAAAACTTTTTCTAACAAAGTTGGATTTTGAACTTTCTCCATTTTCAAAACGTTTAGTTCCAACTTTATCAAAAGAAGCTTTAAGATCATCAATTTTCTTTTGATGATCATCGTTGACCTTTGAAAGAAAATTATGCAAATCATAAAATTTCTTTTCAAACTCATTTAGTTTGATTTGCAAATCTTTAATTTTACTTTCAAGATCATTATTGGTCTTGAATATGAGATTATTTTCATTTTTCAATTTTGAAATATCATTTTTGTATTTTAAAAATAATTTCTTATAATCCAAAGCCAACTTAGTATATTCCTCTACTAACTCATCAAAAGAATAATCCTCAAAATTAGATGAGTTAGAGGTTACCTGAGAGTTTTCCCCGATGGCCATCAACCACAAGTTTGCTACTTCTTGTTCCTCTTCATCGGAACCTTCATCATCGCTCCATGTAGCCACATGAGCCTTGTGCTTCTTTTTGGATTGACCATTTTTCTTTAATTACGGGCAATCGTATTTGACATGACCCGAATTTTTGCACTCGTAGCAAATAATAGGGTCTTTTTCCTTCAGTTCGTTTTTGAAGCCTTCGTTTCGTTTGAATTTTCTTCCTCGATTGGGCTTCATCAATTTTCTGAACCGTTTAGCAAATAATGCCATTTCCTTGTCATCGTCATCTTCATCTGAATCACTCCCATCTCTTGTGGATTTGAAAGCAACTCCCACGTTCTTCTTTTTTCCGTCTCCTTCTTTGGCTCGTTAATTTTCTCGAGGTCTACCTCATCTTGAAACATCATTTCATAAGTGAGGAGAAAACCAATTAACTCTTCAAGAGTTAAAGACTTTAAGTTCTTAGCCTCGATGATTGCCGTTTTCTTTTATTGCCAAGCTTTCGGAAGAGAGTAAACTAACTTCCTTACAAGCTTCTCGTTTGGAATAATCTCTCCATATGATTTGAGACCATTACCACTCGTTGAAAATCTATCAGTCATAGCTTTGATGTCTTCATCTGGTTTCATCCTGAAATTTTCATAGCTATGAGTTTGGAGACTAATTTTAGATTCTTTTACCTCGTCTGTGCCTTAATGAGTGACTTGTAGTTTATCCCATATCTCCTTTGCAGTTGTACAAGATGAAACTCTCACGTATTCATCCGGTCCAAGAGCACAAAAAATAATGTGGATAACCTTTGAGTTGAGCTGGAACAATCTTGTCTCTGCTTGACTCCACGTTCTTGAAGGAGTAGAAGGTATGATGTATCCGTCTTCTATGATATTTCATGCTCCCATGTCACTTGCTTAAATGAAGTACCTCATTCTATTCTTCCAATAGGCATAGTTAGCTCCATTGAATAAATGAGGCTTGTTGACGGGCATTGAATCAAGACCAAAGGCGAAGTTTGAAGTGGAGGCCATTGATGACTTGATTATCGATATATCTCTTCTCGAATCGACTCAAGAGGCGATTAAACATTCAAATGAGTGAGGCTCTGATACCAATTGTTGAGTTAATCGATCTACGAAATAGCCAAGAGGAGGGGTGAATTGACAATAAAAATTTTGGTAGAAGCTTTTGCAGAAAATAGAAAATAATTGCACAACGATTTAGAGTGGTTCAACTTTCTCAACCAAAGTCTATGTCCACTACCTTAGCTATCACACTAAGGATTTTCCACAAATTCACTAATTTGTTTCTTTTGAGGACAAAGTGTAACCTTACAAATCACTTAAGAATTATACCCCAAATTTTTGAGAACAATCTCTTCCAAATAGAACAATATAAATTTCACAAACTTACAGAAAAACCTCACAAGGCAAGATGTTTGCACAATTCTAGAACAAAGAAAGAACACTCAAGAATAATACAATTGAGCACAATAAGTGTTTTTGAAAGCAAAAATGAATATTGAATGAAATAGGCTTGAAAATGCTCAAACTTGAGGTTGATGCTTTCTCTTTGATTCTCTCTCAATTCTTCTTAATTGTTGTTGATCAATGGCTTCTAAGCTTATTTAAATACACCTTGAACTACTTCTGAACGTTGGGGATAATTGGTGAAGTCAATAGAGCCGTTATTGTGTAATTATCATTTAAAAATCTGGTGGGAGCGTGGGGTGCATCGATGCATAGCCAAGGTGCATCGGTACACTATGTATAAAATTCAAATATTTCGACCGTTATAAGTCTTAGTGCATCGGTACACTAGGGTTGCATCGGTACAATAATTACATTCGACGTTTCAAAATACCCAGGAGTGCATCGATGCATGGTCTGTGCATCGGTACACAAAATGCATTCAATGTTTCAAAATATTCAAGAGTGCATCGATGCATGGCTTGTGCATCGGTACACAAAATGCATTCGAAATGGGTGTACATCGATGCATCATGTAGTGCATCGGTACATCACTTTGTAAATTTGATTTTTTGCTCGATTTTGGTTCGAAATACTTTGTAAAATTGTTTCAAAAATATTTTAAGTTTTAAACACAATTTTACACTTTAGTAAGGATTGAAATTGATCTTTGAAAAAACTTGGAGTAATAGTTTCATATTCGAATAATTGAATCGAATATACTTTGAAAAAGATTGTAAAATCTTAAAATTCATTTATGCTTAATTTGTTATATCGAAACATCAAAATGTTTTTAATAAAGGTCACATCATCAATTTTGTTAATTTTTTAACCAAGCTAGATGTTCAAAATGAAATCAAAACTAACTATAGATATAATTAAAAAATAGTTAATTGACAAAAACAGTGCAAAAAGGATAATTATAATACTAAATATGTAGTTTATCCCAAATTTTTTTATTTGTTTAATCTGCATTTTATGTAGTCTGCCTTTAAACTTCAAAGTTTAACCCTGGAACAAAGTTCACTCCCAGTCCCTACCATCGAATTTTAGCGGGAAGAAAGCAGCCTCCCAAATCCAAATTCTCCAATCCCGAAACGCTTTTGAGGCAAAGGCAAAGTCTTGTTCAAGGCATTGTCTTCTCCCATTTGCTCCTTCAGAATCTCTCATTGCGGAAGCAACCAAAAGGACCCAAACCCCAAATCGCACTCTTCAAAATTCGTTTTATCTTCTTTTTACTAGTGTATATAACCAGAATGTCATTCATCATCACTGCCCATTGCTCTAAAACCACTCTATACCCATGGCCAGTTCTAGCGGGACGAAAAGGCCGCCGCCTCCGCCGCCGCCGTTTGCCAGGTTGATGAGGAGTAGAGACCCAAAGAATGAAGATTATAACATTCTTCCGTTTGATGATTCGCCAATCATGAAGCTTCCCGAGGTTCTTGTTTTCATTTATTTGTTTTTCTTATGCTCTGGCTTTCTGCTTATTGTTAATCCTTTACGTGGAAAAAAATTAACCTTTCCTTGTGGTTATGTAGATTAAGACTGCCGTTGAAGCCGTTTGTAAAATGGAGAATCTCCCAAGAATCAATGGTCTTGTCGAAAAAGACATATTTAATTGGCTTTTTTCTGTTCTGGGATTTCAGGTATTATCTGCATTTTTTTCAGTGTTATCAGTTTCATCCTTGTGTTTATTGCTATCGCGTCAATAGCGGGTGTTATTGTGGTCATTGCGAGTATCCGGTTATGTAATAACAGTTTCGGACTCTATATAATGGCCGCTATTCCAATAGCGTACCGCTATTTAAATCCCTGGTTGGGATCACTAGTTCTAACCACTAAAATGTTCCTTTGGGCCAATGGATTTAGAAGCCATTATAATTAACTTGTTGGTGATGCTTTACATAATCAATTCTAACTTGGTTAGGAAATTTTAATTATTTAGGAGATTATGAGTATGCTTTTGATGTTTTATTTTATGTTATTTATTTTGTGTGTGGGGGTTGGGGCACAGGGGTTTGTTGTGCATGATGTTTCTTTGGTTCATTATGCTTACAAGGCTTTTGTCATAATTTTTGGGAAATTGAAGAAAGGGAATGCATCAAACCAGAGGGAGCACTTAATAGTTCTACTGGCCAATATTCATACAAGGAGGAAGGATCTTGGGCTTTATGATGAGGTGCATGAAGTTCCATCTTCCTTAACTGTTGAATCTTATATCTTTGTTCAGTTTGATATAATTCGGATTGTTTTTCATCTGAATACCCTATTTAATCGAAGATTAAGTGTTTCTTATAGGTTGAGGCAACGAAAAGGACCATACGGCAACTGAAGAATGAATTTTTCAGCAATTATGAATCATGGTGTAAATATATGCATATTCCATCTTGTTTCAGGTAATGTGTCTTGTCATTTTAGATTATGAAACAAAATGATTTTTTTTATATAAAATAATAAACTGGCTAGGCCTCCTATTGCATATTGCACACACTGGATTACATGTTTTTTTCCTTAAAGCATTTTCTGCTATGAAGCAAGAACGAGAGGTACTCGGAAGCAGAGCAACAGCAGCTGCATCTCATTTACATTGCGCTCTATCTTCTTATATGGGGTGAAGCTTCAAATGCTAGATTCATGCCTGAATGCATTTGTTACATATTCCATAAAGTATGTTTCTTTTCTTTCAATTATCATTGTGATTTAGAAATTCTCTAATTGCACATTGTTATAGTATCTGTTCAATATCTGCGATGCTGTTATTGAAGCTAGTGTCGTAGTTATCTTCAAGATTTTTTTGTTTTATTTAGTTCAGATCCATCATTAGTAATTATTGTAAAGTCACAATGATATTACAAATTGTAGAAAGTAGGTATTCGGTGAAGAGTTAATTAATTCACCTTATTCCTCATCTTGGAATAGGTCTATTTTACTGAATTTATACAAGAGTTATTTACATAGTTTCAATCAAACTAAACTTGGTTAGTCTTATCTTTATCTACACAGTAGGTGGGAATTAGAGTTAGACTAAACTACTAAAACATACAAGATAAACCTTACTTTATCCTAGAGAATAACTAACCTTAAAATTTATGACAATGGAGTATGCTATACCTACAACCTATTGTCCCATAAACTATTCACTACTGTCTAATGCAAATCTCATGAATTATGATTAAGGAGGGAGAAAGGCTGTTTTTTTGTAGATTAACTTGATCATTTGCATGTTAGATATCTATAGAGAAAAAAATAAAGAAAGAAATATATTGTAATTGTTATCACTGTCATTAGTTAAAATCTCTAACTTAGTGGAAATTCATTGGCTTCATGCACGTGCAGACACACACAGACTGTGAGGTGACCATAGTGGGCATAAAATCAGTCAAGTAACAGATTTTGAGAGATTTTCTTATAAGATAAATGCACTCTTCTGCAGCATTGGCTTTAAGTTGTTAATGGAAATTCTACCTGCCCATGATTTATCATTATTATCAATATGTTGCTGTACATAATAAAAAAATCATGTTTGTGGTTCATTTATGTAGAAGATTAATGTACTTGCGCTTTCAACTTATTGATGATGACTCTAGATTTATTTTGTTGAGAAACTAGAGAAGAATATGGTAATTGAGCTGCAGAAGATTATGTAATATAAGCTGCATCCTAGATTTGAGATTCATCATGTTGCTTGGTATATGTTCATCTTCCATGTTATGTTCCCCACTGCTTTTTTCCCACATTTGTTTTCTCCATTCTTAAAGTAATCTTTGGCTCTTTCCCCTGTTTCATGGTCATATAGATGGCAAATGATGTCCATCAAATTTTATCTACCACCGACACAACCCAGATACCAGATGAGAGCTTTTTAAGTAATGTTATAAAACCTATTTACCTGATCCTATCTAAGGTAATATTCATTTTATTGCCTTAAACACATTTTTTTCCTGATCATCTGAACCATCTTATCAAAATGATATTATTATTTGACGATAAAGGAAGCTGGAAAAAACAAAGAAGGCAAGGCAAGCCATTATCGGTGGAGCAACTATGATGATCTAAATGAGTGCTTTTGGTAAACTCTTAATGGTTTATGCAATTTTATTTATACTATTCAAATACATTTTTGATGTTTAAGTCATATTTTCTTCTAGGTCTGAAATGTGTTCTTCTGAGCTACATAATCGAAAAGAAGGGATGCCATTGCCACCTGCAGATAAGGCAATTTTCTTTTCTCCTCTAAAATTTTGCTCGAGTGCATTTAACATCCCCTTAACGAAATATTCGTACTTGTATGGTTGCCTTCCAATTAATCACTTATAAAGCTCGTAAAAAATATGGCATAAGTTTATTGTAGACCGTAGGTTCAGAAAAGTGTACTCCAATTTTCTTTTGGAGCAGGGTTGGATAAAACAATTTAGATTGTGGCTCCATTGAATATTGGATGGTCTATGAGCTATGAAGTATGGAAAGTGGCACACAATGTGGTTATGATACAACATAGACACAATGATGCTGGAATTTATAAAAAAAAAATAGAATATGGATATGGCAGGATATGACAGTCAATTTTTTTTTTGTATAATATATACAAAACTGTAAAAGTGATACTTTTTTTTTTGATAGGAAAGGTAGGCCTCTTTAAAAACCCCCTTCATGATTAACGGATCACAAGGTGCTCCTTAATCAGCGGAAGGAGGAAAAGAGTGCCTCATTAATTCATTGATAACCACAAGTTACAAAGAGTTAAAACAACCATACAATCTATAATTCAAATAAGCAACCCACAACCTAATAGAAACCCAACTAAAAGTGATACTTTTCAATTGAATATAAACATAAAAATCACTTTTTCTCGTTTTTTAAGTCAGTTTTGAATTTATTAACTTGAATCCTTGAAAAACCATTAAGATAGATCAAACTCAACAGCCTAAATGCTCATACACTATATTATTTAACAAGCGAATTATTTTTTTACTTCTCTCATTTTGTACCTTCATTTTTTTCTTTCTCTGATCATAGTTTTTGTTACATATTTAATGATACTTTGCTTTCTACACTTGTTCTTATTTGTTTCTCTATGTTTTCTTGGAGCTTTGACTTCCATAAAGTAAGTGTTTTTCTCGCTCATTCTTGACTAAATATTTGGGGCGAAGATGCAAAAAGGAAAAACCATCATTGTTTAGCCATTTTCAAACATGTCCAGCTCTGTATTGTTCATTGTTCAGACAATACTTATAAATTATCCTTTTTGTGTCTTTTGCTTGAAAAATACAATGCGAGGGGGAAATGTTACATTGCAATTCAAACCAATGATTAATTTGTAGAAATAAGGTTGGGAAAGAAATTTGGAACATGGAGAACATTTTATAAGATACTTCTTTATTAAGGTAAATGTCCCCTTGGCCAGCTATAACAGTGATGGTTCCATTTGCTATGTCGATCTTTAAATGGTTATTGCTTGGGTTGTAGTTGAGGAAATATCTTGCGGAATAGGTCGTATGGTCAATTGGTCCAGAATCTAGTACCCATATGATAGGAGGGGTTCTTTATGAGATAGTAGGGTAAGGGGAAAAAGAAATACCTGAAAATGTCAATGGGCAAGTACATGTCGAAGATGGCTTTTCTAGAGATTTCTTCAAGTTTTTCATTTTCTCAGTTTCCTCAATATTAAACTTAGGAGAGGATTTATTTTCTTTACTAGTCAATAGAGAACTCACCAGAAGCTTTAGACTACGATCACTTATACTTCGAATGGGTTTGTCGGCTAGTAATGAAGTTTCCAACACTTTTCCTTGATGAGATGAGGCCTTTTCTAGTATGTGCAAAATCAAGAATTACGATAGGCCAGGTGAATATTCTGTAAATCACCTGCTGTAACAACACTTTTAACGTCAGAGGCATGAATGATAGGTCTTGTAATCTTGGCTGAACGAAATGTGATTTTTGTAATAGCAACACTGTCGATAGCATATATAAGCTTGAGAGGGCCGATTATCTTGGCTAAACCTATAGGGTTTGCCGACATGTTTTTTTTTTGTGGATAGAAGTTTAGACCTCATTAAAAACCCCCTTGAAACCCTCCATGTTATATCAGTAACATGAAGGACCTAGGAAGGAGGAAAAGAGTGCCTAAAATTTTATTAATAATAGCATTAATACATAGGCAGACCCGAAACAAACTGCTAAACCTCCAACAGAAATGACATAAGACTTAACACAGAACACCTTACAACATAGGAAATACCATTTCCTACACTTCAACACAACCAACATAAATCAACAAATCACCCTATCCCATCTTTAGCTAATTTGTTAGCTTCCCAGTTCGCCGCCCTCAAAATGTGCCTAATAATAATATCCTTTCCTGCCATATGCAAGACTATGTCTTTTACCAAGGAATGAAACAAAGGAGTGCATAAACCCGGATTCTTGATCCACTTCAGGGCAATACTTGAATCGGATTCTAGAATAAACCTCTGATTAGGACCGACACCTAAGTCATCCAAAAGACAAAGCCCCCTCTTAATCGCCAATAGCTCTGCCATGATAGGAGGGCCACCCCCAACACTTTCAGAGAACCACTGAAGCAACACACCACTACTGTACTGAATCAGACCCCCAATACCTCCTTTAACCCATCCAGAAACCATCGCTCCATCAACATTTAACTTTTAAAAACCATCCGATGGAGGAATCCAGCGAGTTGGTTGAGTACGAACCTTTCTCTGACTTCCCATCGAATCAGCAAGTTTCAAGTCACCTACTAGGGAGTCTAAAGGGATCAGAACATCATTAAACCTTGCAACAAACCATGAGGCTATCCTAAATCGAACAATGAATGACAGTCTGACTACATCCAGCTTCCCTTTCTGAAAAATAACCTCATTTCTGCACTTCCACACTAACCACATCACCGCCCTTGGAATAAACTTCCATATCAAAGAATTAGGCATTAAATCATCCCACAAAATGATAAAGTCAATGATGTGCTTTGGAATCACCAAAGACACATTCCAAATTTTCAAAAAAGTAGACCATAGACCCCATACAACCTCACAATGCAAAAATAAATGTGAAACTGATTCCACCTCCCTACTACACAATGAATATATTGGATCATCAATCTCTGCCACACCTCGCTTCAATAATTCCTCTTTAACAGGCACTCTCTGACGAGCTAACTGCCAAACAAACGTTTCAATCCGTGGAGGTGCAATCCCTAACCAAATATGCCTCTCCCAAGTCTCATGATTCTGCTCAGTACCAACTTGATCAAAGAAAGTATTGATACAAGATTTAGCTGTAAATTAACCCTCACCATTCCTTGTCCAGATCCAACATTCATCCTCGGCAGGAGATATAGAGATATTATTCAGCATAGAAATCAACTGAAGCCATTGTTCAATTTCCCAATCTGCCAAATTTCTTCTCATTTGGATGTCCCACACCCAACCAGAGGGCATTATTCACCCTAAACTCCATCACTTTGCCCAATTTATTACTAGACAGAACATAAAGTCGAGGGAACAAAACTTTCAAGGGTACTTCTCCCAACCAAACGTCATTCCAGAATTCCACAGATTTCCCATTCCCCGTACTCAATCGCATGTTCCTCCTAAGACAATCCCCAAAACCATCATTGGTAAAGAAATTTTTGACAACCCCTTTCCAAATCCACGAAGCACGGGCTGAGCACGAATTCCCCAACATTATGGAATTCAAATCCAAGTTATAAACTGCACACACCACCCTCTTCCACCACGACTTCTTTTCTGACGCAAACTTTCATACCCATTTCCCCAGTAAAGCTCTATTCAATAATGATAAATTTGGGGTCCCTAGACCTCCAAATCTTTTTGGTTTACTGACCGACTTCCAATTAACCCAATGGATTTTTTTGCTATCTGTCGAACCCCCCAAAGAAATGAAGCCATGATAGAGTTGAGTTTTTGTAGCACAGAAACTGGAATTCTGAACATAGAAAGGAAATAAACTAGGAGAGAACACAACACCGATTTTACCATCACCACCCTTCCTGCTAACGACAAGGAATTAGCCATCCAACTACTCAACTTAGCATTAAATATCGCCACTATTGGCTCCCACATAGCAGCCGAATTCCTCTTACACCCCAAAGGTAAACCTAAATATTTTGCTAGAAAATGGCCTACCGAACAGCTGATATCATTAGCCCAAGAAAACTAACTCCCTATCCTCAACATTAATACCATAAATCCCGCTCTTGGCTAAGTTTATCTTCAACCCCACCAATAGCTCATATATTAATAACACCCTTCTAACATTTCTCAAATCACGAGTAGAACCTTTACTAAAAACTATAAGATCATCCGCAAATTGCAAATGTGATAACTTGAAAGGCCGATCATGAGCACCTAAATCAAAACCCGAAAACAGTCCCATATCCACTGCTTTAGTAAGCAGCAAATGCAGCAACTCAGCCTTTCAAACCAGAAGGACAGTGCCTCCCACTTATCTTCAACCGCTGCATCTTTCTCCTCCATTGACTGGAATACTATCAAACATGTGTTCTTCGCATATCCCCACCTTACTATCTTGACATTAAATCCTTCATTTCTTAATGCTCTCTGCTGACATGTTTAATGGGCGAAAAGTTTTCTGATCAGGAACAAAACCTAAGCTGATACCATGTTCTAATCTAAGGAAATAAACTAAAGAATAGGGAAAGAATAGAAGAGGTAATGAAATAGAAATCTGATTATTGGATTAAGGAGATTACAGTAGTTTAAATAAACTGAGTAGCTGACTTCTAATAGGACTTCTCTGCTAAGATAAAATTCTGTCTAGAGATATTGATTACAAAGACTCCTAAAGACTAAACAAACAAGACTTCTTCACGGCTGATTCTAACAATATCTGAGATGTATTTATCTTTATGTATACTATGGTTCGTTCAATTAGGATTTGAGTTCATGTCCATATATTCTATACAGATTCTGAACCAATTTTTTGCTGGGAACCAATTCAATATTGAAAGGTGGAAGCCCAAAAGTAATTTTGTTGAAGTACGCACATTTTGGCAGCTTTATAGAAGTTTTGACCGAATGTGGATTTTCTTCATAATGGCTTTGCAGGTGACCTCCCCTTTCAATGTAGTGCTTTAGTATTTGATAACTTTCCAGAAATTGACATAGATGATTGTTTTTTCAGGCCATGATAATTGTTGCATGGACACATTCTGGATCCAGTTTTGAAGATGTCTTAAGAAGAATATTGAGCATTTTCATTACTTACTCTATTCTCAGTTTTCTGCGAGGTAGTATTGGTGTTCTTTTTGAATATTCTATTCTCATGAAGGCCATATATTGAAAACTTCTAGTCATTTATAACTTTAGCTTTGTCTCAAAATAGCTATTTAATTACAAATCCCACTGTCAATATAATTTTAATCCGATCATATTAGGTACTGATAGTTTAATTATAACAATTTTTTTTGTTTTTCTTTTTTTTTTCTGGCTTTTCCAATTCATGCAGCTATTCTGGATATAATTCTTAGTATCCATGCTTGGAGGTGCTCTCAACTTGGCCAACTATTGCGCTACCTTCTGAAATTGGTGGCGGCATCTATCTGGGTAGTAGTTTTGCCGGTAGCATATTCCACCTCTGTGAATGATCCAACAGGACTATTGAAGTTCCTTAACCAATGGACTGGAGATTCACAAAATCAATCATTGTATAATTATCTTGTTGCACTTTATATGATGCCTGATGTACTGGGTATTATACTGTTCTTGCTTCAACCTTTGAGGGAAAAGATTGAGCTATCGGATTGGCCAGTAATTAATATTATGTGGTGGGCTCAGGTTAGTATATCAGCACTGTTGCATTTAATCATTAATATCATTCTTTCTTTTTTTCTTCCGTGTGGTCATTGTTAGTCTTTTTCTCTCAGATTCCTAGGTTATTTTCTTAGTTTAATCATTCAAGTTATCTATGTTTGTATTTTCCTTTGCTTCAGCCAAAACTTTATGTTGGAAGAGGCATGCATGTGGGGACATTTTCACTTCTAAAGTATGATTTTATTTGTCTTTTTATCCCTATTCATGCTTAAATTTCTTTTGATTGTTCTAGTATTTTAAGTTTAACACCTTGCAGACATTTCTTTACTTCCAGGTATGTGCTATGGTTTTATTTTTTTCTCCCTAATCATGTTTAAAGTTCCTTAACTTGTTCTTGGATTTTAGCATCTTGCATTAAGTGAATAGCATTTCTTTACTCTCAGGTATACGCTATTTTGGATATTGGTGCTGTGTGTCAAGCTCTCATTCAGTTACTTTGTGGAGGTTATTTATTCTTTATTCTAAATTTCTTAGATACCCTTAAAGTTTGTAGTTCATTTACTTCAATGAACACATACAATCTCAGTTTAGAAAGCAGCATATAGTATTTTGTCTTATATTGCTACTTCAAACTTTAAAAAGCCCCCATGCAACATATTTGTAGATAAGAATATCTTTTCCTTTTGGATTATCAAAAATTACAAAAGGAAAGTATTTTTTAGATTGAGCTAATCTGAAACAGACCAATGTTTTTTTTTCTGGAGAAACATATTTCCTGAATGAGGCCCACAAATTATACCTACCTATATACCGAGCTTATATTCTGAAAGGAGAAGCGTAAAATTTTTGAAGAGATATGCGTTTTCTTATATTATTTTTGTTATTTTTTTGTTTGTCTTAGTTTTAAGGACTGGGTCATGTTGTTTCTTTGGATTATCAGGTCAATTCTAACTATATTTTGGTTCCAAGAAATGAATCTCTTTTTGGAACCAATCTAATGTAAACTGAGAAGTTTGACCAATTTTGAAGGTTTTAAAGGCATTATTTTGACCCTTTTTTGTGGATTTTTTTTGCTGCTTGCATAAGATTTTGTCCTAAGTTTCAATTACGTGTCAAACTATCTTCGTATTTGACAAGATGTACACAAGATAAACATGTTAAGCATGACTGTATTTATTGGAATTGGAGATGATTTTTCTTTCTCCAATTCTTGCATGTGTGGAAGTACATAGCTTATTTCTAAGATAACTATAATTTTCAGTCAGTGTGAACATATTCATTTGCTCCAATATGCAAATTATTGATCTTGCAGACATTTCCAAATTATTTAAATTCTTTGAAGATATAGTTGCTGACAACCTGTTTTTTTGGTATCAATAGATATTGCCACTTGTTCGACCAACAAAGTTAATCATGAAGATAGATGTAAATGACTACCTGTTGTATAAGTTTGCTCCAAATGGTAATATAATATTCTTTCTTATTGTGTTATGTATTTATTTTTTCACTTTGTGATGGCTTCAAAAGCTTTTTAGTTATACTAATTCATAGTCTCTAACTTATATAGTAAAACACAATATGGGAGTCATTATTGCAATATGGGCTCCAGTTGTCCTAGTAAGTAAGCTTTTAATAACTTTGGTTTTGCAAATTGTATACCATAGTCTTAATTCTTACTTCTACCATGCAGCTTGTACCATTATCTAAGAGTACATTTCTGTGGTAGGTTTATTTCATGGATGTTCAAATATGGTATGCCATCTTTTCTACTCTTTTAGGCGGAGCTCTAGGAGCTTTCAGACACTTGGGCGAGGTATGAGGCCACTTAATTAATTCACTGTTCTGGAAAATCTGTTAATGATAATGTTATAGAAAGTAAGTTTGTTTTATCCTTTCTTCCAATCTTCACACAGATTCGAACAATTGGGATGCTGCAGTCCAGATTTGAATCTATGCCTTCTGCTTTTGACCGCTGTTTTGTGCCATCATCAGGCCCTGATGCAAAGGCAAAAAACTGGGTAGTGCTATTCTAACTTGTCTGTATAACGGGTTTTGAATTTTTTGAGTTCTATTACTTTGATCACATTCAAGGCAAATGTAGGTGGCGTGTGCAGTGTGATCTTCATCAATTTTTATTAGCATGACCTTCAACCTTACCCTTTTTTTCTTTGGGCTAAACATATTTGCTATTAATATCCCAGCGCACTTCGAAAGAACCAAAAAACATGTCAAAATTTTCTCAGATGTGGAATGCTTTTATACATTCAATGCGAATGGAGGATCTGATTAGCAATAGGTTAGAGCCTCTTCCTGTAGATTTCATAATGTAAGACAAATCTGCTTGCAAACTTTATAATATCACTCTGCCTGCCTCTCCCCTCCAGGGACAGAAATTTGCTGCTTTTACCCTCTTCTCCAAATGATGAGTCTAAGGTTCAGTGGCCACTCTTCTTGTTAGCCAGTAAAGTAAGTATTCTTGAGTGTTTCTCTTGTTGAACATTAGATGTAATGCAATTGTAAAGTCTTAGTTTTACATGTTTTTTTCTGTCAACATATGACAGATTCCTGCTGCATTAAACATGGCAAAAGAGTTTAAGGGGGAGGATGATACTGAGTTAAGAAAAATTATTGGGAGAGATAAATATACTTATGCAGCCATACGAGACTTTTATTACAAACTGAAGCATATTGTATGTTCCCTTCTAGAAGATGAAGATGACAGGAAGTAATAATCATTTGTACTATCTGCTTGAGCTTTGGACGTAATGCTAACTGGTATATGATTGTTTACCTATTTTCTTTTTCTGGGATAGGATTGTAGAGGATGTCTATGGTGCTATCACTGAAAGTTTAGGTAAAAAGGTTTTTTTGAGAAACTTCAACGTGAGTAGCATGCCTTTGCTGGCTGTAAAGTTGGAGAACCTCCTAAAGATCTTGGTAATAATTGAGCTCATTCTGTTTTTCTGGTCTTATCCATCTGTAATTTTTTCCCCTTCGCTTGCTCTTGGTTGTTGGTAATTAAGCATCTGTTTTATGTGACAGATGGCTGAACAACTGGATGATAAAGCATTCAAGAATCAAATCACCATTGCTCTTCAGGATATTATGGAGATTATAATACTTGATGTGATGATTGATGATAAATCTACTCTCGAAGGAGATCTGAAAAACAACCAAATCTCTCATAAGTACTATAAAAAGCAGAGATTTAGAAAGATAAATACTAGTGATGTCAAAAGCGAATACTGGAGCGACAAGGCACTGAAATAATTTTTTAAAATATCATTTTAACACATCAAATAGAGATATATATCTTATCAAGTTCTAAAATTTTCTCCAGATCATTAGGCTTCATTTGCTTTTGACTGTCAAGGAATCTGCCACTGATGTGCCTCTGAATTCAGAGGCTCGTCGTCGAATCACTTTTTTTGCAAATTCCTTATTTATGAATATGCGAAGTGCACCAAAAGTCAGTAACATGCGTTCCTTCAGGTTAGTAACTCTAGGCAATTTCGAGATGTTATATTAGAAGCTAGCTGTGGTTGGTCTCCACTAGTAGTTACTTTGATCTATTCAAAAGTGAATCTACAATTCTTGCATCATGATTGGTTGAGTTCTCCAGGGTAATTCTTTACAAAATAATATCTAGTTACTCTAAGCTGGTAGTTGGAAAAGATATGACCGTAAAATTTCTTCTTAGAACACTAATAAAAATTTATTCTTGCAATTTATTGTCCCAGTGTTTTGACGCCACATTACAAAGAAGATGTTCTTTACTCTATTGATGAACTTACCAAAGAAAATGAGGATGGGGTATCAATTCTGTTTTACCTGAAGACGATTTATCCAGGTGTGCTCTTTATCCATTACTGTATAATTGTTTACTAATTGGAAAAACAGGAATTAATTTAGCAATGCCTACAAACTAGATGAATGGACCAATTTCAAGGAGCGCATGAACAACAAACCTCCGCAAGATTGTCTTCGTGAGTGGGTGAGCTACAGAGGACAGACACTCTCTAGATCAGGTTTGGGTGGTGATGATCAATTAACAATCAGTTATACAATAAATTAAATTAAATTGTTAATTATTGGTGTTTCACGCAACTATGTTTGGCTGTGTTTTCTACCAGTAAGAGGGATGATGTACTACAAGAAGGCTCTAGAACTTCAGTGCTCCATGGAATTTGCTGATTGTAATGGTTTATGGTTTACTTAGACTTGAGATGAAAATTCTAAATATCATCTTCTGAGTTGCATTCAGTATCATCTTTCAGTTCAGCTTAATAAATTGTGACATAGTTGCTAACTTTATTTTGACTTCCTTTGCAGCTGTTTCAAACGATGATCATGTTCGAGAGAAAGTATTACCTGATTTGAAGTTCACCTATGTTGTTTCTTGTCAGATATATGGAATTCTGAAACGTTTGAAAGATCCTCGTCAAAAGGACATTCTAAATCTTTTGCTAATGTAAGTTATTTTGCAGAATGCATTCATAGGAGTAAAGTTCTAGCATAAACCTATGGCTGATTCCTAAAATTTTACAGGTATCCATCACTGCGTGTTGCTTACATAGATGAAGTAGATGAAGTTTATTACTCTGTTCTTCTCAAGGGTGATGCGAACACTCATCATGAAAGAGTAAGTGCTAGTTTGATATGAAATTAATTCTGTTGGAATTTTTTTAGAAATCTTGTTTTTTTACTGTTTACCATGTTTGGAATCTGGCCATCCTTGACCAAATATAATCAATATGGGCCTAATAGAGTTTTTCTGAAGATTGTATGAATCTGATTCCTGTTGGCGTGAGTGAACATATTTCCTGTTATGATCCATTATAATTATGCATATAAGTTGGTTGTAAGTTGCAACTATGGAAATATCTTAAATCTGTCCTCACATAATGGTTTATTTCCTCTCTCATATCTACTAATAGCAAAAAGTAAAAGTATAACCTAAACTTGAAGGCATAATGAGACATGAAACTAGTGCAAATTCCAGTATTTCACTAGACTCATGATACAAGAAATTGTATTCTCCTCTATCCTTACTATGTATAGAATCAAAAGAGGTTTTTCCTTTCTAGTGTCCCAGAAGTAGCACACGTGTAACGTGTTGAAAACGAGAAATTTGGAAGTAAAGAGTTTGTTGAAAGAGAATGAAAGTGAACTTTTGAGAGGGAAATATTTATTCTTTTCATTGCATTTTGCTGGTTACAATAGCCCTTGTTTATACTCACTAAACTTCTAATTACTCCCATGATTTCCATACTACACCTTAAGCTGGGCTATGAATATCTATCATGTCCAACTTGGATTTCAAGTTCATGAAAATATTTCAAGGTAATGCTTTTGTAAGAATGTTTATAGTCAAATATTTCAAGAACTCCTTTTTAGATATTGAAGGATACGATACACAACTTCTAAATGCTTCTCAATTGGATTGTTCATGTCCAATCTACAGTTCATGAAGTACCTTACCGTATCTACAGCAAATCCAATGTCTGATCTAGAATGAGCTAAGTAAATTAGCTTCCTTGTAGGTCTTTGGTACCTCTTTTGTCTACTAGAGGACTTCCATCCTCCATTTCCATCTTGTTAGTAGGATCTGTGGGTGTAGGATATATCCATGTACTTTGAATTTAGTATTTTACTTTGTATTGAACTTGTATTTTAGATTTATCGAAGTAGAAGATAAGATAGTCATCTGATTAGATAAGAGAGTAAACTAGTGTTACCTAATTCGCCCCCACCCCCACGAATCCCGTTTGGGTTCGTTTGTTCCGATTCGGGATTCGTTTGCACGCCGAATCGTTAAGGAAATCGTTCTAGAATGATCAAATTGGTGTACCAAAACCCATAACAGAAAAAGCAAAGGAAGATAGGGAGAAGTGTTCTGAGGGAGAAGGGGTGGAAGGAGGGGTCACAATTTAGCAAAACAAAGGAAGATAGTGGGAAGAGGGGTGGAAAGAACATAATTGAAATGGTGTTAGGGCCGGCATCAACGGTGGAATCAACAGATTTCTTTTGATCAGTATTTTGATAAAGGAAAGAAGAAAAAAGACGGGGAGACCAAAAGACTGAAAGTTGAGAAAGAAAAGTAAACCTTGTGAAGAAAAAGAGAAAAGTAAAGAAGAAAAAAAAATGAAACCCAATGAAATAAAGAATTGAAGCTCGGATCTACTTGAAAGCTCGCGAGCTTAAAATTTTAAAGCTCCACTAGTTTTGTTAAGTTCATGGTCTGATTTGAAGAAAAACTCACACATATGGAAATTCATCCCGGGAGTAGTCCTTTGGTCTATTTGGAAAGCAAGGAATTCAATTGTGTTTGATAATTCTAGCCTTGATATAACCTCTCTCTTCTTCCGAATCAGATTTAGGTTGGCTCAATGGTTTTTAGCTAAGTTTCCCCATATTCAAATTCAAATGGATTTGTTGGTAGGGGACCCCTCTCTTGCAGACAGGATTGTTATTCAGAAAACTCACAGAAGTTTGATACAAAGTTGGCATCCTCCACCAACTGATTTTTATAAATTTAATGTCGATGGGGCTGTCAAGTCTGATGGGTTGGCTGGAGGAATTGGAGGTATTTTGAGAGATTGTAATTGTATCATTTTATCGACTTTTTCTGTTAGTATTGGTCCAGGACCTCCTCCGTTGGCTGAGCTGAAAGTAATTAAGAAAGGTCTAGACATTTGTCTATCATCAGATTGGGCTACAAAGGGAAGACTGATTCTAGAAAGTGACTGCAAATCTGCAGTCGACTGGATATTACTGCCTAATTCTGTTCCTAGTTTTTTCAATTCCATTGTTTTGGATATTGTGTCCTTAGTTCAAGAGAGGACGGTTATTATTCGATGGATTCCTAGGGGTTGTAATTGGGAAGCAGATAAATTAGCTAAGGATGGGATCGGGTAATTGTAAGGGTATTTCTATAGGGTGCTTTATGGATTTCAGTTTTATTAGGATACCCTCTATGTATTGGTGTACTGTTTTGTAATAGTTCTATATTCAATAAATCAAGGCACTCTTTTCCTCCTTCCGCTAGTTACTCTTTTCTAGAGTTAACTAAGAGGGAGGTTTTTAATGAGGCCTATTATTCCTATAAAAAAAATCTTAACATATTATTTTTCGAGTAGCTCACTAGCTTTTCGAATCAAATATCAAGTAGCTCGTTTCGGCTCGTTAATAATTCGAGTTGAGTCCATTCGAGTTGAGTGTTAACCAAACTTTGATCGAGTCGATCTCGACTAGCGTGCGATCTGTCTCGTCTCATTTACAACCGTATTTGTGTCTATGCTAGGAAGGGTCAACCTACAGAGAATATAGAGGACACCACACATGCAAAAAATTGTAATGAACTGTATCCTTTTGCCTCAGAAATTGACACAGGTATAGAATCTTCACACAATGAGGCTCTTCATTTTATTGATAATTTAGATCAACCTATTAACCAAAGAAAAGGTGTCTGAAAGTGCACCCTTCTTACCTTAATGAATAAAGTGTGGTCGTTCATTAATGAACATACCCCGTTCGTGTTCGTTCGGTTCTTTTCCCATGTATACACCTCAATTGTAGGAACCTTTTCCTACCCGCCTAGATTTGCCTCGATACGGACCCACTCGATCCTTCGACAAAGGCTTGGATGACTCCTTTGGTTAAACTTTCAGATTCGTTGGCATCCCCAGCGTGCCCTCTTGAACTCTAAAAGGTCTCGTATGTCCCTTCCAACCCTGCGACAAACCACTTGGAGTAGAAAATGTTGTTGATTGGAGATGGTCCCAAATATCAATGTGAATCATTGAGAAACGATGGGATGGCCGGTATGGTTGATTTTAATTGGTATTGTAAACATGTTTGCATAGCTGACAAACCTGACATTGAAAATTTGTTGAGTTTTTGTTGAATAAGGGATTTTTTTTATATAAATACTCAATGACCCAATCAGTAATGTCACAACATGATTGCAGTATAGTTAATGGTACTAGATAATGCGTCCGCACAAGCTGCTTATTGAGATTGCCTTTTTGAGACATCAACTTTAAGAAAATTGAGGCCCACACACATCCTAACATAGCCAGTTGTCTTCTCCGAGTCTAAGACCTGAATTTAGGGCTGTAAATGAGCAGAGTTAAGCTCGAGTATTACTAAGCTCAACTCGACTCTACTCTAAAACTCTAAAATGGAGTTCGGCTCGGTTCGAAAACTCGCGAGCCTAAAATTTTCAAGCTTGAATTGAACTCAAAATCATGAATTGAAGCTCGAAATAAAAAAAATATGAAACTTGACTCGGTTAAAGCTCAAACTCGAACTCGAACTTGAATATTAAGTACATGAAAACCTTATACTATATTTTTTTTTAAAAAAATCAACACATAAACGTTAGTATTATTAATAATTTATTTTTTTTAAAAATAAAATTTTAATATATTTTTTTTTCGAGTTGGTCGCGAGCTTCTTGAGTCGAGTATCTAGTAGCTCGTTTCGGCTCGTTAAGAACTCGAGTCGAGTCCATTCGATTCGAGTATTTATCTAGCTTTGTCTGAGTCGGTCTCGAGTAGCTCGTGATCTGGCTTGTCTTATTTATAGTCCTACCTAAATTTCATACATGTTTGGCTAGAATTTAGCAACACAAGTGGTGTCTCTAGCAATCTTAATTGTTGATAGCATATTAAAATCAAGATTATGCACAAACAACTCTAAATCAAGAGTTATATTCTTGGAAATACTATTTGAACCAATGCCAACCACCATAGAGGGACCTATCAGCAATAAGTACCATTACATCATCACGACATGGACTATACTTTTGGAACACAGTGACATCTCCTGTCATATGATTGGATGAGTCTGAATCCACATACTTTTGAAACACATGGACTATACTTTATCGTGTGTAGCACTAGAAGTACTCATATAATTATCGTTTTGTGCTATTGGGAGTCTTACATAAGATCTTATCTTTGAAATGAAATTTTCTATGCTACTTGCCATGGTTAATTTGGAGGTCTAGTTACTCCGCTCTTTTTTAGTAATTGTTTAGAACGTACTCTGATGCCATGTTAAAAGAGAGTAAGTTTGGGAGAAAAATCTTCTGTTCTTTTCAATGCATTTTTTTTTTTTTGTTACAATAGCTATTTATACTTGTTAACTCCTAAAAAAACATGAAACTACGAATAAACACGATATTAGGCCCAGACGATGGGCATTATGACAAAATGCAATAATCAATCCTATATTATTTTTACAAAGCAGCAGTCACTCAACAGATTACTTCCTTGATTTCCACATTAAGACTCCTACCATAGAATGATATCATTGTTCAGAAAAACGGATTTAAGTGATCTACAAAACATCTACACATGCTAATCTCAACAATAAACTGTCTAATTGATTATGTTTCACTGGTCAATTCATATCCAGCATATGAAGTTTTATTTCTAACTCTTATAATCCGTCATATTCAGTTTCTCTTAGAGTGATGGCTACGAAGTAAGAAGTATGCACATAAAATATTTTGTGGGAACAAAAATGCCCTTTTGATTGCTAGACTAAGGTTTGTATCTATTATACCATGGCATCACTTGACACCCTGATTTCCATGGCATTACTTGACGCACTGTTTTCTATGGTATTACTTGAAATTCTAACTGCTTATGGCATTCCTTGATAGTCCAATTGTCAATATGGTAAAAGTGCCATGCTTAGATGCTTAATATTTATATCTTCTTATGTTACTAATTTCTTATACAACATGGCTTTGCATGCGACTTCTAGGAAATATACCGTATAAAACTTCCAGGTCTTCCAACAAAAATTGGTGAAGGGAAACCTGAAAATCAAAATCATGCAATTATATTTACTCGTGGAGAGGCCTTGCAGACTATAGACATGAACCAGGTAGTTTACTTTCTTCTGTCTTTCAAGGAATCGAATCTTCTTAGAAATCTGCACCATGGCTTTAACTCTTTGTTTTTAGGACAATTACTTTGAAGAGGCTTTTAAAATGAGAAATGTATTGGAAGAGTTCCCGCATTCCCATGGTTCGCAAAAACCTACAATATTAGGTTTAAGAGAGCATGTCTTTACGGGAAGGTTTGCATGATCCCTTCTCTTTATAGGTTTTACTAATCTTGATTGGTAAATAGTGTCAATATGCCAAATGCTCTTTTTACTCCTCTACAGTGTTTCATCACTTGCTTGGTTTATGTCCAATCAAGAGACCAGTTTTGTAACTATTGGCCAGCGCTTTTTGGCAAGTCCTCTGAGGTAAACCTAACATTGTTCTGTTAACTGATTTAGTGCTTCTGTAACATCATGCATAATTACTATTAATATTTCATTGAAATTGAGCTTTCAAGAGGAGCTTAGATGGTGGTTATGTTATTATAAGAACTCACATAGTAACAGTGATAAATAATCATTTTATACTGATAATTAATCCTCTATTAGATTGGTTCTCACATCTCAAATTAAAATTTTCACGTCTATGTTTAAAACTAGTAAAGAATCTAAATACAATTGGACCTGTAGTAACTTTGAATTAGGCTGCAGAAGATCAAGTCAAACCATGAATTTCCAATTCAGTTTGAGCTGAAGTTTATAATAAGTCGGTCCTGTTTATTGTAGTATATGACGATACACTTGAAAATGAAATCTCCGAAGAGATGATTTTGAGTGATTCAGTATTCAGCAATAATTCCCCAAAGGAATTGCTTTTTATGGTACAAAGGGCTATTTCTTTGCTTTCATTGAAGTCTAATTCTCAAACACGCTGGCAGTTATTTATTTCAATTCAAATCTATTACTTTTTTTTAACTTGAGTCTACTTAATTCTATTTTAATCACTGCAGTTTCTTTAAATGATCATCTTTGCAGAGTACGTTTCCATTATGGTCATCCTGATATATTTGACAGAATCTTCCACATAACAAGGGGTGGAATAAGCAAAGCTTCAAAAACTATAAACTTAAGTGAGGACATATTTGCAGGTAATGATTAGCTATTGAAGTAATTAATATCATGCATTTGATATAGTGGCTGATTGCTTAAAACTCTTCAGGGTTCAATTCAACTCTTCGTCTTGGGTCTGTGACACATCATGATTATATGCAAGTTGGAAAGGGACGTGATGTGGGGATGAATCAGATATCACTTTTTGAGGCCAAAGTTGCAAATGGAAATGGGGAACAAACACTTAGTCGTGATGTCCACCGACTTGGATGTCATTTTGACTTCTTCAGAATGCTATCATTCTACTGTACAACAGTTGGCTTCTATTTTAACAGCATGGTATGATATAAATATATGATGGTTTGTCATATCGGTATCTCACTGTATGACAAATATTCAGTGTTGTTTGGGTGTTGAGTACTTAATATTGAGGTTTAAATTCTACTGTACTAGGCTTAAGTTTCTCCCATATTAGCATGTATAATCTAAACTATAAATAAGTTAATGTGATCTGGCATTCATTCCATATAAATGTAGGCACCTGGATGATACCAACACTTACGGCTGGTTTTGTCCGTGTTCTTGCTTGTACTCTTCTATACTTGGAAAACTATTGTGATTCTGACCTTGATCTGATTCAGGTTGTCGTCCTTGTTGTGTATGTATTCCTTTATGGGCGTTTGTACATGGTTATGACTGGATTGGAAAAAGAGATTCTAGAGGATCCACAAATAAAACATAATAGTGCCATGGAAGCAGCTTTACTTACACAATCTTTCATTCAGATGGGCATGTTATTGGTATTGCCCATGTTAATGGAGATTGGCTTGGAGAAGGGGTTCCGCGCTGCATTGGGTGATTTTATCCTTATGCAGCTGCAGCTTGCTTCTATGTTCTTTACATTCCAGCTTGGAACAAAAGCACATTATTTTGGTAGAACAATCTTGCATGGAGGTTCTAAATATCGAGCTACTGGGCGTGGTTTTGTTGTTCGACATGCTAAGTTTGCTGATAACTATAGGCTTTACTCACGAAGTCACTTTGTGAAAGCATCGGAACTGAGTCTACTGCTTATCATATATGAAGTCTATGGAGAATCATATAGAAATTCAAGTCTTTATTTGTTCATCACCTTTTCAATGTGGTTTCTAGTAGGATCTTGGCTATTTGCTCCCTTTGTATTCAATCCATCTGGTTTTGAATGGCAAAAGACAGTGAATGACTGGGCAGATTGGAAGCAGTGGATGGGAATCCGTGGTGGTATTGGTATCCAGCCGGAGAAAAGTTGGGAGTCATGGTGGGATGAAGAACAAGAGCACCTTAGATACACAAGCATGAGGGGAAGGGTCCTCGAAATTCTTCTTGCACTTCGTTTTTTCGTCTACCAGTTTGGAATAGTCTACCACCTTGATATAGCCCATCACAGCAGGAGTTTGCTGGTATAATAAACTAGTACTAGAAAACTATGTACTGTTTTTTCCTTTCAAAATTAATGTGAATTTAGGCCGCTCTCTGATTAGTTTTACCACCATAACCCTTATTACATGTATTTTGTTTGCAGGTTTATGGACTCTCTTGGTGCGCTGTTTTAGTAATACTTATAGTCCCAAAGGTATGAAAATTTCATTGAGATTATGAAGTAACTCTTATGAGGACTAGGTCAATGGAATTTGCTTGAACAAAAAGACAAAATATAAAAAATGAAATTCTCTAATAGTAGTTTGTAGTTGCTCCCACCATTTATAGTTGGCAAATGTTTCCATGGTCGAAGTGTGAAAGTGTGCAGGCGCTAGGCATAATTTTGTTCACTTTTCACATTTTATTCCATATTGTTTATTTTCTTCTATTTTCATTTTTTTCATTCATTGGATAAATTGAATGCATTTTTTGTTGAGAACAGGTGTAACAGAAATTCAGATGTTTGTATGTTCCATACCGACGCCCCTCCCTTTTTTTCTGAAATTTATTCACAGAAGAATATAATTGATTCGGTATTCTGTTCGCATGTTCTTTGCAGATGGTATCTGTACGTAGACTACAGATGTTTCATATGGACCTCCAGCTACCACTCAGAATGCTGAAGGGACTTCTTTTCCTCATCTTCTTGGCAATCATGATCATCTTATTCAAACTATGTGGCCTCACTTTGTCAGATTTATTTGCATCTATCCTTGCCTTCATGCCCACCGGCTGGGGTTTCATTCTTGTAAGTCCTTTCAACTTTTAAGACTTTCTGTCAATCAATCTTCCCCTTCCTTTCCCATAAAAATGAAGGAAAATTATCATCAGAGTTCAAGGTAACACCACCAAAACATTTTACTTGATAAGTTTGTTTGATATTCAATTTCAAACAAAGTGCATTGTAATTGTAATTGCAATTTCTTTGAAACATTTTACATGACCTATTAAGTGTACCCAAATTTATATCACAGCTAACGAATATTTTGGTAATCACTAAAATGATATTTTGTTTTCCATGAAGATGACCAAACTATTGCTGCTATATTCTTCTGATTCTACTTATGCCAAAATTTTCTGGCTTAATATTGTCCATGTCTAAAACCCTGTGGGAATGTACATGCCATTGAAATATTTTACCTAGAGAAAGCATATAAGATTATGCTTTCCATAAGCTGAGAAACAGAAAGAGTGGATATTTCATATATATGCGTGTTCATTAATCCAACATTCTTTGTCCTAGGTTGGGCAAGCCTGCAGGCCTTGCCTGCATAAGTTACTGTGGGAGCCAATGAAGGAGCTGGCCAGGGCATATGACTTCATGATGGGATTGGTGCTCTTTACACCCATTGCCCTTTTATCATGGCTCCCAGCGGTATCCGAATTCCAAACTCGCATTCTCTTTAATCAAGCATTCAGCAGAGGCCTCCATATATCTATGATTCTTGCTGGAAAGAAATATGGAGGAGCCTCCTCGACGTAGTGCGTCTCAGTGTGCTTAGTAGTTTGTATTTATTTTGCTTCTGGCTATTGCAAGAGCTCTGGCTAGTGACTGCCTTTGGTGTTACCTTCCTTTATGCCATCCTTGGCCGTCAGCATTTTTTTCTTTCGAGTTGTCCCTTTCCTAGTTTTTTACCCTTGGTTTGACTTTGTGAGGGGAAAAAATTTCAGATACTTGATTTTTGTTTTCATTATAAATAATATAAATAATCAGTATCCATGTACATGTGGGGCCATGAATGAGGCCTTGAGACTCCTAATGAAGCCACAATTCTCAATATTTTGATAAGATAATATCTGTTTAAAATCTTTTTAATAATTGATAATACATATACATCTGCAGATACAGTTATTTGAATTCATGATCTCTAAGAAGAATAATTCTTTTTTTAATCATCGAGGTCACTTGATTCTAGACGGCTATATTGTGAGGCAAACATAATTAGCATATGATCCCAGACGGTGCAATGCATGTTTCCACCAAATCATGTATGCTTAGTGTACGAATGTCATTAATTATCATTATCAGTAAGGATAGATTAGCGATGATGGGATGCGATCACATCCATTAAAATTTTTATAATTTCTTACGTTTGGTTCACGGAATATAAGATTACCGGCGGGAATAGATTATCGGAATGTAATATTACTAACACATTACTGGGAATGTTGTATTGTTGTATTTGGTTCGTTTAGCATGAATGTAAGATTACAATGTTTGATTAAAAGAATAAAAAAAATATTAGAATGTATATTTTATCAAATTGTCATTATATATTTATTTTTTTAACAAGTTGTATTCTATTATAATTTTATTATAATTAATTTATATATTTTCTTTAAAATTTTGTTAAATTCATAACATTTATATAATTTTTTTTACAGAATTGAAAAGATAAATAGGTTTAATAAAAGGGTAAAATTTTATTTTAACCCCTAAACTTCATATAAAATTCTAATTATGAATTTTTTTTTGTAAGTTTAAAATAGTTTAAGGATAAATTTGTAATTTAACCTTCATAGATTTTTTTTATTCAAAGACAGAAGAATGATATTTTTTTAAAAAAAATTAAGGGCATTTTAGTCCAAAACGCCTTGAATGTAACAATACCTAAGGGAAGAGGGAATCACATTTTCGATAATAAGCCACCAAAATACCACTGTTGGCAATAATTTATTACCGGGGTTGGGAATGTTTGCAATCAAAATGGGGGAATGACATTCCATTCCTCCAAGATAACCTGAACCAAACGTCCCCTAAGTTTTTTTTTATTATTTTATTGATTATCTAATTTTGTATCTCCTAAATTTCTTTTTAAGTTTACATCATCTAATATAAATTTTATGTCTGTCCTTAATTATTAATAACTTATCTCAGGATAAAATCGAAAAAAGGGATCACCTAAAACACCTAATATGGTGTAACGCCCCATCGTCCCTAGATATCACTACTTTTCGTACCATCACCAATCAACAAATCTTCACTAATCCCTCCAATCAATCTTCACAAATCTTCAATGGCTTAATATAAAAAAGTGTTTAAATTATACATTTTTTTATTTAAATACCTAATTTTTTTAATCAATATAGCCGTTCCTACCGCCACTGCTACCATCAGCTGCCTACTCACCAACCGTCGAGTTTCACTATCGACCATTCCCTCATTGTTGCCCCTAAATCCTAAATCCGTTTCGACACCCTAAATGCTTTTTAATATCTACGATAATTGGAGAACCCACGGAAAACGTAATTGCTTCAATTTGCTCGGTGACTTAATATGCTCCATTTATAAAATGCCACAACAATTGGAACACTCCACGGCAATTAGAGGATTTTTAGGGTGATGGGTAGATTTAAAGGTTAAATTTTTAAGAATTTAGGAATTAAAGAATTGAGGCGACGATAAAAGTGATGATCGCTCACTAGGTGAATGACGACGGTGGATGGTCACTTGACTACTGCGACGACAGCCAATAATGATCAATCAACAATAATAATGGAGGTTGGAATTGCAAACTTTAGGTTTTTTGAGGTATTTTTATATTTTAGAAAAAAATTGAGGTTTTTTCTTGAAAATTTATTGATTTATTTTTAAAAATTTAAAGGAAATTAAAATTTAAGACACATGTCACATATTGGTTGGTTGTCTTAATTTTAGTGGAATTCTTTAATTTTGTTATGGTATAGTCACTTAAAATATACCTTTTATAACGTTGGAAACCTATATTAATCGAGAAAAATTTAAACACCTAAATAGAATAAGAGATATAATTTGATTTTTTTATTAAACATATTCCAATCCAAACATAAGCTTAAACTATAGAATTCAACCCCTTTTGTTGTTGTAGACCCACACTTTTCCATCCTCAACAATTACAAATAATTTTTTAATAAATTGTTTTTAAATGTTATCACACATTATTGATCTATTTAAATACAATTATATAACTACTACATAATTGAGTTCTGTCATAGTTCGACTTCATTACAACATTGTTTTTCAACTTTATATGCATGTGTAATAAAAAAAATTTGGTTGTTTGGCCGTGTTAGGTAGGGATGTGAAATCACGTAATCATTCATGTTTCAGGTCAGGTCAAATCGAATATTGTAATATCTCAAAAATTTGATTAGTGACTAAAACATAAATTTTGAAAGTTTACTAACCAAAGTAGAAACTTATAAAAATAAGGACCAAAGAGATAATTTTCCTAAAACAAAATTTTATCCTATAAATAAATAGTTTATCTTTAAGAATATATTCTCTATGAAATTCGTATTTTGATCCGGAATTTGTGTAACGAGCTAGTAAACGATAAAGTTCGGTAAAGTATTTAGATAATCATATCGAATTGAAAGTTTACAAAAAATTTAAAGAATGATAGTATGGGGTTAAAATATTATATTTATAATTGTAATCAGTAGAATTTAACATGGAATATTGGAAATTAAGTGGCTAAATTGAAATTTTGGAAAAGTGCAAGGGCCAAGATAAAAATTAATCAAATAAATGTTGATATTTATATGAGGTTGTAAGAATGGTGATGAAAGGATGGCAAAGTGGTAAATATCAAAATTCATTAAGGGTAGAAATGACTTTTGGACTAATAAATTTTAATTAGAAATTTAACAAGTGTACATGAGATATTTATCATGAATTGTCTAGGGGAAAAAATGGTCTTCTCTCTTTAAATTGCCGTGGGGATCATGGAGAAAAGAATATGGTAAGTTCCTTGTTACCTTCTCAGCTTTTTAGTATTTCATGTCCTTCCCCACTTACTGTGGTTCAATGTTATTCTAAAAATTATATATATACCCTCGTGAAACTGCTGTTATGATGTTTTCTTCATTGTCTGGATCAAAGCTTTTAACAATTTTAATCAATGGCCCAGTAAGAATTATCACTTTTACAGTTAGGTTAAGTTGTAGGTGCGGTTTTGAGATAGGTTCCTGAAGTAGTTGAATGTGTATTTCCTATTGCTTCCTCTGTAACAGATGGTTGTTTATTAGAAATAGTAAAAGGCAACCACGAGAATATGAAACCTATTTATTTTGTTGTGTAATTTGCAACTAGAATATAGCTGGAATATTCCTGCATATCCCTCATTCTTATGATTCCAAGAATTATGCTGAAATGTTTTTGGTATTTTAGAGTTTCGTTTTCATTTTTTTTTTTGAGTTGCTGGTGATTGGTTTTGGATTGCTTTTTTTTTTTTTTACTTCAACTTTTAGTGTACTTATGCCAAACATTACAATTAACACTTCAAATTGGACTTTCATATATGGTCCTGGGCCTCTAAATATATGGAAATACTTCGAAAAATATTAATGCGCCTGTTTAAGACATTGCAACATATGTCATCTACATAAGCTTGTTTCACGCTTGTTTCTTAGCAACATAGGTCATTGCTCATTGAAGGTAAGTTTTCTTTCACTCTTCTTATTTTCCAGTTATTTTTATGGCATTGAATTGAATTGAATTGAATTGAATGGAAAATTTGTTTAAAGGATGATTTCATGCTTGAATCTAATTGGAAATTTTTGGAATTTTACTTCATACCATTCGGCCACAGGGAGGAAAATTAGGAAAAATTTTATTTTTTTTTCTTAAGGGTTAGAATGGATTAAAGAATGATTTTACATACTTTGAAATAAGTTTTGAACCATTTTGGAAGATTGTAAAGTTATAGGGACCTTTTTGCAAACTCTAAGGAATTTAAGGATTAAGATGTATATGATTAAAAGTTGGTATACCATGCTGGAATTTAGTATTAGTTTGATCCATTGGTTCAATTTGGAAGATTTTATAAGTTTAGGGACTAAGTTGCAATGTTTGAAAAGTTGAGAACCAAATGGTAATTAGGAAAAGGTTAGTGTAATAAATTAGAAATTAATACTAGAATGGTTGAATATGGTAGTTGAATTTAATTATAGTGTAACATAATGGGTTACTTTGAAAGGTTTCAAAAGTGTGCATGCTTGGAAAACTTAGTATTAGGCTTAAAGTAAGGAAATGAAGAAAAAATATACAAGGTTTAGAAATGATGAATGAGTTCTACATGCTTAGAATATGATTTGGACTAATTTGTAAAATTTGAGAAAGTATAGGGATTTACCTGCATAAATTGAGAAATATGGATACTAATGTGTAATTGTTTAATAGTTTATGTATTATGTTGAAATTGAATATTGGAATGTTAAATTTTATGTTAGAATGTATCTTAGTTTTAAATTGGAAATTTATTAAAGTATATAACTAATTCGTATATTTTGAAAAAAAGGAGGATTAAAGTGTAAATGTTTAATATTAGAAGTACTATGCTGAAATGTAAATGTTTGAATGTTGAATTTGTTGTTTGAATGTGAAATTCGACCATTTTGAAAAGTTGTTAAAGTTTAGGGACCAAAATATAAATTTCATAAATTGTGAATTTAATAGTTACTGAAGAAATATAAGTATTAAAGCATTTGAAATATAAGTAATAGAATGGTGACTTTGATGTTAAAATATTTAATGGGACTGATTTGAAAATATGTATAAGTTAAAGGACTAATTTATTAATATGAGGAAATTGTGGGATGAAACAGAAAATGAGTTAAGATGATGTGTGAAGTTTAAGTAAATTATAGTAATAAGTAATTATTAGAAAGACTT